ATGGCCCCCGCATCGCTGGGCTTGGCAGATCATGGCCCCCGCATCGCACCTCTGAGTTTGCCTTGTCAGTTAAGAAAGCAAAACAGTTGCTTGAGCCCCGGCACCTCTTCCGTTACAAATCAAGCCCTGGCTTTCCCATGTGAAATCCCGTGTTGGTATTTCAGAGAGTCACAGATCCCAAGGCCAGCCCAGCCCACTGCGACCAGCGCGTCTGATCTCCAGCTGCCCTGACCGAGTTCGTGTTTGAACGAGCGAGAGACCAGGTGGGTGAGGTAACCCCGCTCATTGGACCGACTTCTGTCCAGTTTTCCAGCTCTTCAGAGACCAGCACAGCTACTGTGACCCTGCAAACACGGCTGAGCTAGAGCAGATCTAGAAAGACAGTCAGTTTCCATTTCCTGCCCAGGTGGACGAGCTCTCCCGGCCCTGGTGGGTGTTTCCCTCGCCTCACTCGTCGCATCTGTGACTGTCAATAGGAGGAAGGATGGCCCAGGGGTTAGGGTGCTAGCCTGGGACTGGGTAGACCTAGATTCAGTTCCTTGCTCTGCCCCAGACCTGGGGCAGGTCACTTAGCCTTTCCGTGCCTCAGTTTCCCCATCTGTACAATAGGGATAATTGGCTTGTCTGTGTGAGGACACAAAGGCATTGAGGGGCTCTGACACAATGGGCCAGGTAAGTCTCTACGACAGATGGATACTGTGCTGTTTACTCCCTCTTCCAGACTGGTACAGCAGAGGTTAAATAAAACCAGATCCCTGCAGCACCACCCTCCTATGCTTTGCCATTTATTTAGAGAGGGGAGGGGGCAAGGAGAGAAAGTGGGAGGGGGCAAGCAGGAGATGGGAGGGGCAAAGAATGAGCCAGTCGCTCTGTGTCCCCAGCCTGTGGAGCCGGGATGGCGCTGACGCTGCAGCAGGCGTACCATCGGCGCTGGTGGATGGCGTGCACCGCCGTCCTGGAGAACCTCTTCTTCTCCGCCGTGCTGCTGGGCTGGGGCTCCCTGCTCATCATGCTCAAGCATGAAGGCTTCTACTCCAACATGTGCACAGGTGAGAGGGGAAGGGCCCAGGGAGAGAGCGGGGCAAGGGAAAGTGAGTGGGGTTGAGTGAGAGAAGGGCGGGGCACAGAGAGAGTGGGAGGGACCAAGCTGGAGAGGAGAGGGGAAGGTCAAAGAGAAAGTGAGAGGGGCCAAACATGAAAGGGGAAGGACAATAACATGGGAGGGGCCAAGCAGGAGAAGGGTGGGGGATGATATGAGGAGTGGAGGGCAAAGGGAAGTAATGGGAGTGGGCAATCAGGGGTTGAGCTGAGATTAGGAGGGGCGTGGCCAAGCAGGGGAGGGGTGGAGCCTGAGATGGGGTGGGTAGAGCCATGGGAAGATGTTGGAATGGGGACGTGTGGGAATGCGGGTGTATTTGGGGCATGCCCAGGGCTCAGACCCTGCAGAGGCTCCACAGAGCTGGGTTCCTCTCCAGATCAGCTAGGCTGGTTCTGGCCCCTTGTCCCAGGTGGGTGGGGCAGGCCCTGTGCGGGGTGGATGGGTCTGACAGGGTCTGGGTCGCTCTGCCTGCCGTGAGAGACAGCCAGCCACACAGCCTGGAGAGGGACAGACGGACCTGTGGGGGATTGACAGGCACCATGCCATTGGCGCCTCCCACCAACCCCAGCTGCTTAGGGCCAGGCCCCCCTCAATGGGCCCCGGGCACTGATGTACACGTCTGCCCCGTGCCAGGCTGTGCTGGGACTCATCCTGCCTTGGCCCCCCTGACACCCACCCCATGGGGCTGCAGCATGCCCATGGACAGGGTGACAGCGAGACCGGCGCTTGGCACAGACCCCACCAGGTGTGGCGCCATGCAGCATTCCTAAGCCAGGGCTGGGAGGCTGGAGACCCTCAGGGACTCCTCTGCCTCACCCCTGCCCCCAATGGGATCCCGCTGCCTGCATGGGAACCCCTGCCCCTCCCATCCCCCCTTGCCTCCTGTCCCCACATGGGAACGGTCAAGGCTGAATTCCCACTCTGTCACTCTGAGTGCAGAAATGGGGGCCCGCATGGATTTTAAAAATTAATACTGGCCACTCCAGGCTTGTATTAAACTCCCAAGATTACAGCTTCTCCCTGACCTTGGCTTAGTAAATGCTGCCACCACCCAAATGCAAAACCCCCCTTTGAACCCAGGAAGGAGCACTTGGGAATTCCTCCCTGTGGGGCACCCTCAAGCCCTTTCACCCCCACTCCGGGGAAGAGCTGAGAAAGGAAACAAAGGAAATTAGCTGTGGCTATTAGCTAATTAAACAACATGCACAAACCTCTTAGGACACCAAAAATCCAATCCTGTTTTTAAAAAAGGTAATTTTATTAAAAACAAAAAGGGAAAAAATACATCTGGAACTTAGACTTTTTGCTAGATCTTAAAAGAAACAAGTATACAAATCAAGCACCCAAAACAGCTTTCTTGGGGGTTCAGTTTAAAGGTTACAGGCGAACAAAAGCATCTGGGGTTAGCACAGAGGAAATCCACAAGCCAAAATAAACCTGATCACGTCTAGCTAAACACTCTGATCTACTTACACATGTGGAGTTCAGATAAGTAGTTCTAGGCGTGATCTGATGATTTATGATCATACCTGGCTTAGCTGCTGATAGCATGGCTGCTCTGTCCCTCCAGCCCAGAGAACAACAGACAAAGGCAAAGTTTCTTTCCCAATTTTAAAAAGTTCTACCTTCCCATTGGCTCTTTTGGTCAGGTGCCCACTTTCCCCCCCCTTTACCTGGGGGACTTTTTCACCCTTTGCAGGTAAAGCAAGTAAAGAACAGCTACCAAGAGGGATTTTACAGCTAACTGGTTGGCTGGGTGTCCATCCAAGGGAGCTATCCCCCAACTTTATTTATCACAGGAACCCTGACCCTCCCCCTGAGAGTCCCCTCCTCTCCCTTGCCTCCTGTCCCCCCATGGGAACCCTGACCCTCCACTGAGAGCCCCCTGCTCCTCCTTTGCCCCCTGTCCCCCCCATGGGGCCCCCTCAACCCCTAGTGAGACCCCCCCTGAGAGCCCCTCTTGAATCCCATGAAACCTCTTGCCTCCTGCTCTCCCATGGGACCCACCTCACCCCCATGGGACCCCTGTTCCCCCACTGAGAGCTTCCCTGCCCCCCATGAGCCTCCTGGCTCCCTGACGAGACTCTGTGCTCCCCCAATAGCTTCCCCCGTGGGCCCCTGCCCAGCCATGGAGTGACAGGTGGGTACGGCCCCTGGGGCAAGGGAGGTCAGGGTGGGGGTCTCCCCCCAGGGCTGGGGTGGGTCTGACGCTGCGAATGTCCCCAGGTGAAAACAGGACCAATGGCTCGGCTCTGGGGCTTCCTCCCCACCACTGGCCTAGCTGCGTGGAGCAGGAGGAGATGCTGAACCTGGGCTTCACCATCGGGTCCTTCCTGCTGAGCGCCGCCACCCTACCCCTGGGGGTGCTCATGGACCGTCTGGGGCCCCGGCCCCTCCGCCTCCTCGGCAGGTGCGGGGCGGCCCGGGGGTCAGGAACCCCCGGGGGGAGTAGGGGTTGTGTGGAGATGGGGATGGAGGCCATGGATTGGAAGCTGTGGCCCTGAGGAAACAGGGCTGGGTCCTAAGATGGGAGAGGTGGCTGGGAGGGTGGGGGGACAAGGTAAAGGGAGGGGGAGATGTCCACTGGGGATGTCCCAAGGTGGGGGGTGCCGGAGGTGCCCATGGCGGTGGCTGAGTCTCGTGGGGGTGGGGGCCTCAGGGATATGCGTAGGATGGCTAGATCTCAAGGTGTGGGCACTGGGGGAGATGTCCATGGGAATGGAGGGATCTCAGGGTTGGGGAGGGGCCCATAGGCTGGGGGTGCTGATTACTGCCCTATGCCCCTGTAGTTTCAGCTTTGCTGTCTCCTGCGCTCTGATGGCCCTGGCTGCCTACGACCCTCCAGGTGAGGTGAGGGCTCCTCCCCACAGCCCACAGCTCCGCACCCCCTTGTCTTCCCAGCAGCCCCACAATCTCCCCAACCTGTTTCCTGAACCTGATCCATACCTCCACTGACACAGTCCTCCATCTCCACTGCTTATCTCACGTTCTCCCATCCCCCGAAACCCACAGCCCTGTGCTCCTCCACTCTCCCATCTCCAAACCCCGAGCCCTGCGCTCCTCCGCTCTCCCATCCCCCCAAACCCCCAGCCCTGCGCTCCTCCAATCTCCTATCCCCCCAAACCCCGAGCCCTGTGCTCCTCCACTCTCCCGTCCCCCCAAACCCCGAGCCCTGCGCTCCTCCACTCTCCCATCCCCCCAAACCCCCAGCCCTGCGCTCCTCCGCTCTCCCAAACCCCCAAAGCCCCAGCCCCACGCTCCTCCGCTCTCCCAAACCCCCAGCCCCGCGCTCCTCCGCTATCCCATCTCCAAACCCCCAGCCCTGCGCTCCTCCGCTCTCCCGTCCCCCCAAACCCCAGCCCCGTGCTCCTCCGCTCTCCCGTCCCACCAAACCCTCAGCCCCGTGCTCCTCCGCTCTCCCGTCCCCCCAAACCCTCAGCCCCGCGCTCCTCCGCTCTCCCATCCCCAAATCCCCAGCCCTGCGCTCCTCCGCTCTCCGGTCCCGCCAAATCCCCATGTGATGATGTGGTTCTGGCGGAACCCCACTGAGAGTGCCAACTCAGGACAAATTGCTCAAACAGGGCAGTTACAGCCCAAGGCTGGGGTTTTTCCACCTCTAAGGCAAACCAAACCAGCCAGACTAGGAGGACTTCGGTCTCACCCCACTGGCTAACCGCAAGTCTCACAAGCAATCTCCTTAGACACTCCAGTTTCCCAGTATCCCCGCCAGTGCCACTCGTTATGGGGACAAATGGTTATGAAAACCAATACCCCAGTAAAAGAGAAAGGTTCTCCTGATCCCAAAGGATCAAGCCCCAGACCCAGGTCAATATACAAATCAGATCTTACCCACAAATCACGCTGTTGCCAATCCTTTAGAATCTAAAATCTAAAGGTTTATTCGTAAAAGGAAAAAGATAGAGATGAGAGTTAGAATTGATTAAATAGAATCAATTACATACAGTAAAGGCACAGTTCTTGGTTCAGGCTTGCAGCAGCGATAGAATAAACTGCAGGTTCAAATCAAGTCTCTGGAATACATCCCCCGCTGGGATGGGTCCTCAGTCCTTTGTTCAAAGCTTCAGCTTGTAGCAAAGTTCCTCCAGAGGTATGAAGCAGGATTGAAGACAAGATGGAGATGAGGCATCAGCCTTATATAGTCTTTTCCAGGTGTAAGAACACCTCTTTGTCCTTACTGTGGAAAATTACACCAAAATGGAGTCTGGAGTCACATGGGCCAGTTCCTGCATACCTTGCTGAGTTACAAGGCGTATCTGCCTTCTCTCAATGGGTCCATTGTATAGCTGATGGTCCCTAATGGGCCATCAAGCAGGCTAGGCAGAGCTAACACCAATTTGTCTGGGATGTCACCCAGCAGCATAGCATAAGTTTGAAATACAGACAGTATAGAGCCAATATTCCTAACTTCAACTACAAAATTGATACACACATATAGACAGCATAATCATAACTAGTAAACCATAACCTTGTCTTAGACACCCCATTTGACCCCCTTTACACAAGATCTGGGTGCCACTACAGGACCTTGGTTGCAACAATGATCTATATGGTCCCAGATTAT